GAAAATGTTTTAGGACTAAAATGTCTATAGAAAAAAAAAGGTTACGAACAACAAATAATTCGAAATAATTTTATAGACTAAATTGAAATCAGAAAACGCAGACTGTACAAACACGTTTATGAATGAAAAGTTACTAAGTACTAAGAACTTCATATGTTAAGCGAATACGAAAATATAAAATGACATGATAGTGAAATTATCTGAACAATGAATTTTTATTTCATCTTTAACAATGAATTTCATTTATATTAATGAGATTGTAATGGTGCTTAACCAAATAGAAAGCCTGTTACCCTAAGCGGAGCATACGTTGCCGACCAGTATTCTGCAATGTACTCTGTCCTGGGCTTCCCTATCTAGTTATGTCCAATTTTTGCCCATTCTTCTTATGTCTTTCTCCATTTCTCGACGTATTTTGTTCCTTGGTCTAACTCTTTTTCTTTGTCCTTGAGGGTTCTAAGTGCGAGACTGTGTTATGAAGTAGTTGGGTGATTTCCGTTATGTGTATCCTATCCACCTCCAGCGCTTATTCCTGATTTATTCCTCCGCTGGAATCTGGTTCGTTCTCTGCCACAGTATGTTGTTACTGATGATGTCTGTCCAACAAATCCGAAGTATTTTGCGAAGACAACTGTTAATAAACACTTGCATCTTCTGGTTGATAACTCTAGTAGTTTTCCAAGTTTCCGCCACAAACAGTAGAACAATAATATCTTGATATTTATATTGAAAATTATGACTTTGATGTTTGTTGATTGTTGTTTTGAGTTTCATATAAAGTCGATTAGTTATGATCAAGAAGGATTCTAACACAGATATGTGCCTTCCGAAGTAGTATTGAATGATAGGATGAAATTAACAATGGTTGAATCATAAAAATAATCTAAATAATGTTATGTTTGGAAAGAAGCAATGAAAACGTATCTTTGATTTGGTACAAGAATTTATGACTTAAACTGAGGTAAAGAGTGGATTCATCTGTTTTATTATAAACGATGCTAAACCATTTCATTCAAAGTTCCCAACTACCAGTCACGATAATCGTAAAGACCACAAGTGGGTAGTCTAAGCCTAACCATGTGACTCAGTTCTACAGTTAATGAATTTATGAACTCACTTCAACGTGTCTTGTTTTCCAATGTACTCTTGCACCCTCCATCAATATGTAACGAGTTATGTGGTAGATAGTAAGGTATGCGTAACACGTCTATCAATCATCGTAGTTGAATAATAGTTACAACCACACAAAATTATTTGCTATCTTTACCTATCTTTACCTAATTTCAACTTTACTCACTGGTTCGTTCCAAAAATAAATACTTTCAAGGCATTTTTTTTAAACATAATCATGCAGACTTCAGGTGTCTTATCCTTTCAAAGGTAATGTTTATCTGCCAGAAATTAATACAGAGAGGGCTGACATTCCGAATACTTGTCCTTTGGTTGACTGACTTAGTTCTGTTGTGCTCCACAATTGAAGCAAGTTGACAGAAGGGGACGAGCTTTCTTTATTCACAACAGCATTTTATCAGACACCAACCCACCAAAAATGGAGTGACTTCTAAAATAAGATATACGATCAATGCATCTAACTATTTCTCTTCCTATCGTTACTTTAGGTGTTAACATCGATCAGTCCTGAAGACAGAGATTAGACAAAGAAATCTTGGATTACAGGTTTCTAATGGTGGTCTAACATTGATCGATTCATGGTTTCAAATAAATGAAATCTTGATTTATCTTTTAAATTGTTTCAAAATCAACCTGTATGTTAGTCAGGTGATTAGTCAATCGAATATTCAAACATTTTCCACTCATAGTTATAGAACAAATCTGAAATCGGATTTTGTAAGAATATGCATGGAAATCAAACGTTGACTATGACCACTGTGGAACAAGTTACAGTCAAAGTAAGAATGAATACCAATGAGCAGTAATATCCGCACTAATTTAAAGTGAATAGTCAGTGAAACACAGCATTATTTCTGGAATATACACCGTAAGTATAGAGTTGTCTTTGATAAAGAATGTGTTTCATAACTGTAGAGCGATGAGTATGCAGAAACCAACGTCTTCGTAGGAAAAAACTGAGATGTCATATTTGTAGAGAGGAAAAGTAAACAGCTCATCATAAGTTTGGAGACTGTAGAACAGTTAGAGGTAACAGATGGCATCATCTACACTTCGAAAGAGGAGAATGAAACCAGAGAACACGAAACAACTAATTTTAGATATATGACAGTGATATATCTCTTTACTATACTCTCAGTGTCAGGAGAAGTCCTCAGCAGAGTGTCGTTAAACAACGGACTCTCAACTTCAAAATCCACGCACTGGATCGGTCCTGTAACGACCAAGTCTCATGTGACACTACAGATGATTGTAGAACGATCAATCGAATGGAATTTACCACTGTACAATAACTTTACTTCATACAGTGCATGGGATGATGTTATGGAGGCTTCTTCGACAATACAACGTGCCTGAGAATATAGTCAACATCAAAAGGAATTCTTATGATTGATTTTACCGCAAAATCGTGCATGGAAGACAGCTCACAGACTTGTTCGAAGCGAAGACCGGTGTCAGGCCAGGTTGCTTACTCTCACCCTTTCTGTTTCTCCTGGTCATCGACTGGATTGTGAAGACGTCAGCATCTGGAGGGAAGCACGGGATACAGTGGACAACCAAGATGCAGCTGGACGAAATAGACTTCACAAATGATGTGTCTCTTCTACCTCACACGCAACAACAAATTCAACAGAAAACAACCAGTGTAGTAGCAGCCTCAGCAGCTGCTGGTCTCAACATACACAAAGAGAAAAACTAGAGTCTCCGATACAACACAACATGCTCCAGCTAAATCACTATTGATGGAGATGCCTTGGAGGACGTTAACACCTTTCATATCTAGTCAGCATTATCGACAATCAAGGTGGATCCGATGCAGATATGAGGGCGCGGATTGGCAAAAAGCTGCGTTTTTACAATCGAAGAACATCTGGAACTCAACAAACATCAAGTCACAATTTTCAATACAAATTTCAAAACCGTTCTACTGTATGGGGTGGAAACTTGGAAAACTGCCCAAGCCATCTTCCAAAAGATACGCAAAATACTTCGGATTCTTTAGCCAGACACCATTAGCAACAGTCTGTTGTGGGAAAGAACAAACCAGATACAATCGGAGTAAGAAATCAGAAAGAATCGGCGGAACTGGATAGGATACACTGCGGAAAGCACTCAACTGCTTCACAAGACAAGGGTAAGCAGGGAACATCCAGAAAGTAAGAGGTCAGAGTTCAGAAGAGGCTAAGGATCCCAGACAAAGGATCCTGGTCCAGGTCATAAACATTGCAGATACTGCGTATTTATACAGTTAGGTCGATTAGGAAACAACATTGAGTCTGTGACATTCACAGTTAGGATGACCATAATATTGACCACTAGGAATTGACCAATAGAATTAGACTTACAAAAATAATTCTCTTAGGATATTTCATGAATATCCTAACAGTACTAGAGTATGATCTGAATCTAAATATGTGCCCCAGAGTGAGCGTTAGTCTTCAGTCGAGCCTCTCCACCGATGGCCCATAGAGATGTGATATCTTTAGGTCCATCATCTGGTCGGATTTGGATGTCGTCAGGTCAATAAATGTTTTTCCTTATGCTTAAAATTAGTCTTTGCTAGAAATAGGCGGTTGTCTGAGCACAGCTATACCATGATTTTTACTGATTTTTACTGAATAACGTATTTTAGCGAGTTAGTTATCTACGGCGTGGGATGGTCGCTAAACCTTGGCCCAACTCTTCTTATTTAACCTGGCTTATGGAGTTGCAGTAGGTTCAGAGGTGATCAAGGCAGACTTAAGTCTGCATCATAACATATCATCGTAAATATCGATGAACATATTACTACTCAATATGACAAAAAATTTATGCATATCATTGAAGTAGAAATCAATTTTGTTAGGGAATAACTCAAAAATCTAAAAACCAATAAAACTATAATCAAAATTAATATGCAAGTGCATAATGAATGCAAAATTATACTCAACTCCATTCAATAGTACAGTGCACAAGCGTAATATGCATTGAATAATGATGCACTTAACAAGTCATATCACTTCAAATCCATATTGAGAAGAAGAATATATAAATGCTGTATTGCAAACACTTACCCATCATCAATACAAACATCAAACAAACACTACCATTACAACAATCAAGAAAATGAAATCATCAATCACATTCGTATTCATAGTAGCCATCGGTTACGCCGTGGCCTACTCATCATCATCGTACGACGATGGTTGGTACGGTAATGGAGGAGGTGGTGGTGGTGGTGGTGGTGGTGGTGGCGGTGGTGGTGGCGGTGGCGGTGGCTATGGTGGTTGCAGTGGTGGTGACTGTGACAGTTATGGTGGTGACGGCGGCTATGGAGGAGGTTGCAGTGGAGGTGACTGCGGGTACGGTGGAGGTGGTGGCGGTGGTGGTGGTGGCGGTTGTAGTGGTGACGATTGTGGTGGTTATGGTGGTACTTACAATGGTGGATGCAGTGGTGGATCTTGTGGAGGAGGCAGTGGCAGGTACAGCAGCGGTGGTAGGGGTAAGGGAAAAGGTGGAAAAGGTGGCAAAGGCAGTTTCAGATACAACCAATATTTCTAAGGCACCAATTATATTGTGGATCATTCTACTGTGCCTATGTCACAATATTCACTGTTCTCTTCTTCTACACAATACTCAATTCAACTCAATGTAATGTAGTTGTGTTTGAATTCGAGATAAATAAAACTCATCAATTATAAATTGTGTTTTCTATGTACGTTTCAATGTAGGTTTTTTCAATGAACAGATATTAATTTCTGTGATCTTTCGAAGTGTTGTTAGATAAGTGTTGTTCGTAAGTAGGTGCATGTCACAATTCGTGAATTTAGTAGTGGGTTTCATATGCTTTTTAAGTTAATGCCAGTGTTTGTGTGGAATGCAAAGAGGCATATCATAACACACTGCAGGACAACTTGATAAATCTGTCTGTTTAAATCACTTAGGAGTGTAGATATAGCAGAGTTGAAAGAGAGTTTTAAGAATATTGTATTAAGGTCAACAATAAATAAATATCTTTTTCTGACCAGCCATTCATAAATAAGAGAGTGAGTGTATCATGAGACGGTATTATGAATCAACATTACTACATACTCAGTTATTGTCAGATCTGGTTCATCGTATTCGATGTGATGGACTCTTTGAGCTGAAATCTTGATTAATTTGTAGTACCATTGTCAACTATCTCAGCAATGTTAGTGAGGAAATGTGTTAGAAATCGGCTTTGCATTTAAATATAACTTTCAACTAAGATTGATCATTTTTCAAATAGAGCTATTGAGATCAATGTTTTTGCTCATTGAAATCATGAATCAATCATTGTTAGACCACCATTAGGAACCTCGAAGCAGCGGATGGCCGTTTCATCCTGGTATGGGACTAATTAGCAGTAAGCACCAACGACTCTTGATGCTCACAAGATTCATGAGGAAATTCTCGGAGTTCTAGTGAGAAGGCATGATCATTGGAGTTCAACCCTGTCGAGTGTAGGCAGCAATTACTGAAGACAATCGATGAGGTGGTGCAAGATCCATAGATAGATCAGAGTTAGACATTAACACTCAGTGGGGTTTGGCGTTCGCGTGCGAGACGAAAGGTCCTGGGTTCGGATCTTGTGAATAGCGGGAGCCGTGAATGCGCACTGCTGAAGTCTCCCATATCAGGATCGATGTCCGTCTGGTGCCTCCAGGTTTCTAGTGGTGATCTAATAATAATTGACTGTTAAAATAGATCAATCCTCACAGTAGTTGCTACCTTGATGTGTCAGTCGTGCTTACCCATTGTGATCATCCAACCGAGCTATTTAGGCTGGAACATGTGTTCCTGTAGGTTCTACTATGCCAGGTAGGTCGATTAAAGAACGTTGAGACGTTTGAGGGCGTAGTCGTACTGCTGATTGCAGAGAGGTGTGACAGCAGTTAGGGATTTCCCTTGGACTGCCAGCGTCTGCAGCGATGTTGCCTTCTCACAACGGAAGGAGTGGGTTAGAAAAGGTCAACCCCGAAAATGTCACAACTTGCTATACTCCACGGGTTTCCGCCTCCTGCTGTTAAGCCACTTGAAGAACGGAGCTAACAGCTAAAAAACCCCCCATGAATAGGCTGTGTGACCGGCCTCAAGCAGTTGTCTCTGCAGTCCTGCGGTCACGCTTCCACGTCGTTAAAACCAACGATAATTCACCTTCCTTTTCATGTTCCTCAAGGAACACCTTTCCACTGTGTGCACAACCTGGAAGTTACATACGCCCTCACACTTGCCATAGCACACGAGATAAAACTGGTCACAATCCTTCCCAACGTCTCTCTCTTATCACCAGGACTACACCCTCCTACGTTCCTTTATCTACCCGCTTCGTTAAGGCAAACGATTCGGGTTCATGAACCGTTATTCCTGGTCTCCTGAAACCCCCTACTATACTACATGTTGGAGCTCTTAATATTCAAACCTTGTGTCAAATAGGACAACATGCGCTCTTAGTTAGGACTGTGGAATCCCATGCCATCGATATTCTGCGTCTCTGATACGTACATGCAGGATCCGAGTACAGTGATTAAATTGACTTCACCAGAACTACCTCTTTCACACTGGATCCTAGTAGATAGTCGCTTATACGCTGTCCGACCAAACTGAACAGTAAGGTCTCGGATAGATGGGGATACTTACCGTCGCCTCTTCGTCGTATCTGCCTACTCTCTGACTGACTACAGTTCAGACGAAATAGAAGATGAGAAACTTTTCTCACCTTCTTCAGAACGTTCAGTGCTCTGATATAGTAATAATGGCTGGTGACTTCAGTGCTCAAGTAGGTAGAGTAAGTGAAAAGGAAAGACAGCTTGTTGGATCTTATGGTGTCGCAGCTAATCGAACAGATAATGGGGACTGTCTGCTACAGCTGTGCCCAGATAACCGCCTATTTCTAGCAAACACTAACTTTAAGCATAAGGAAAAACATTTATTGACCTGACGACCCCCAAAGTCGACCGGATTATGGACCCAACTAGATC